AGGCGTCTGTGGATTCATCAAATAATACTTTGCAAAAAACAAACGGGCTAGCCGCAAACGTCCGTGCCGTATAGCGTGAATAACCCTGTATATATGTCTAGATATATTCTGAAGAAAAAAATAATTGATAAAATGTCTGCTTTCTTTAATGCTTCCGGGAGTCGTCCAAATTCTTCCACTTTTAATACACACTACTTTGTTAAGCATTAAAATGCACAAAATTCCTTTAATTTACCCGATATTGCGTATCTCTTATGGTTTAGAAAACCCAGTGTTACCATCCTCAATTAGAAACACTCTGCACAGAGCGTTCAGTTTAAAAAACCATGAGTTTGATATGTTACCTTTATTAGAGCGCTTTTTATGGTTGAAACTAAGTTTAAAATGTGGCCCACTTTAACCTTTATCTGCTACCAAAAGTGGAATGGGAAATTTTTCCGTAAGCCTTAAGTAAGCCTGTAAGTATTTGCTTTGCCTAAATAGCTGAATCCGATCTGTTTTCATACATCAGTAATTAAAAATCTTAAAAAAGCACTTCCCCCTTTTTATCATCTTCATGTCTGTCCAATATCTATATTTTTAATAGTGATATGATGACATTCTTCCAACAGTCTTCAAGAAAAAACCCTAATGACATAAACACTCTTAATCTAACAGTATTACTGGAAAAATAATAGAGGAAATTCACCATATAATTCTTAATTAAGTCTTTATCATCTATGGCTGTTTCTTGTAATATTTGGATTTATTATGCCGTAGTTCATATCTCGACATCTAAAGGAACCTGGTTGGGAGATATCTGGTTTTCGCACCTCTAAGATATTCTATTTTGTATTATTTCCAAGAGGAGTTTTAAAAGGTGGCTCATAAGACTAATCGTACGGTATTTCTCACACTTTTTGGCTTATTTCTTTGGGAGGGCAATTAATACTGGTTTCGGAATTTCAAATAGAATTTTACCAGTATTATAAATATTACCGAACAGTTTTGTGATCAGTTGTACTGTCTTTTGATCAACTAGCTTAAGTTTAGTTTAGTTTCCTACATTTCGAAGTCTTATCACTCGTCTTCAAACAAACTTTCCAGATACTATTCTTCTTCTTCAGACGTTCTCTACCCTTTGAGTATAGGCATATCTCTTTCTCCTCCAGGTCTCCTTACCTTATGCCCCCCGGTACCAATTGATGCCTGCTGTACGCTTGATGTCGTCGCGCCATCTTTTTTGGAGTTTGCCAGTGTTCCTTCTCTCGCCCCATGGTGGCCGCCAGTTTGTGGGCTTTCTGGCAACGTGACCTGCCCAGCTCCACTTAAGCTATTCTTTCAGCTATTTCCTGGACATTCGATTCGCTTCTTATCTATTCGTTGGTTTTAGTGTTAGTTTTAGTTTTAGTTCAAGTGTTATTCGAATTATTCTTCTTTCCATAGCCCTCTGATAAACTTTTATCTTGTCCATAATCCTTTGTGGCAAGACCCAAGTTTCACTGCCATAGGTTGTAACTGGCAGGACACATTCTTCAAAGATCTTTGTTTTAAGTTTTACATGCATGTTGGGTTTCAAGGCATATTTTAGTTTGCCGTATGTCGCCCAACTTTGTCAAATTCCTCTGCTTATATCAAGTTTTTGGTTTTGTTTCCTTACGGCTATTTCTTGACCCAGGTATATATAAGTATTAACTTTTTCTACGTGCTGTCCCTCGATTATTATCGCATTGGTGTCGGTATTTCTGTTGATCGGAAATGTTGTTTTTAAAATGTTCATTTCTATCCCAATTTCCTTTGCCTTTTGGTTCAATTCTTGGAGCATATCTCTGAATTCCGCTTCGCTCGTTGGTTAGTTTCTCTCCTGCTATGTTCAGACCTACATTTTCCCATTTAAGATTCTTAAACACGTCTTCTATGAGGGTGAATAATTTAGGCGATATTGTGTCGCGTTGCCTTACACCTCATTTGATTTTGATATCGTTTGTATCGCCGTGCAGACTGATTTTCATTTTTGATTGTTCGCTGATTTTCTGCGGGATGATGATATTTTGCTGGTTGATTCTTGCTTTCCTTAGTGACTGTATTATTGCCCAGAATTTGACCGCGTCGAAGACCTTCCTAAAGTCGCCAAATGCCGTCCACAGTGGGATGTTGCATTATGTGACTTTCTCTGTTAGTAATCTCATGAGGTGTATATGTTTGATCGAGCTGTAGTTTTTCCTAAAACCAGCTTGTTCTTTTGACTGGTATAGTTCGAACTTATTTTCGAAAAGGTTTGTTATGATTCTCATGAAGAGTTTGAAGATTTGGGATAGGCGGCTTATAGGCTTATTGTTGGGTCTCTTTTTTTATATTATAACGACTATCGCTATTTCCCAACCTGCCGGTATTGTTTCTTCGGGAAGACATCTGTTAAACAGGATTTTCAGGTGTGTTAGTAGTACCGGGCCGCTTTCTTTCAACATTTCTGGAGGTATCGCGCCCTCACCGGCGGTTTTGCCGTTCTTTACTTTCTTCATTGCTTTTTGAATTTCTGCTTCTTCAATTTCAAGTTCTAATATCTTCCGATCCGACGTTGACTATTTTAGATCTACTGTATCCATTTTCGGCGTCGCTGTTCAGCGGGTTTTCAACTCTCGTATCATACAAGTCGCTATAGAAAGTTTCTGTTACCATTAAAATGTCTCTATCCGCAATCTATTCTATTGTCATATTCTATTTGTTAGCTTTAATGAGTTTATTTCTATGTTCTTGAAGATTCTTAGTTTTATCAGAGAGTTTTTCACATTTCCCGCCATGTGGTCTCATGAATTTAATCGCAATTTTTGTATTATTTGGGTAATTCTGTAGTTGTGCTTTATTACATCTTCGTTGGCTTGTGCTACTTGTGTCATTAGCTGTTGGCAGGTTCAGGTTGTCTCTATTTTGTCAAGACAACCAGATACTATTGTCAAGCCTTAAATGGCACACATTTCGAACATTTAATTTGAATCATGTTCTGTTCCTGGAAATAAATCGGTCCTTTTCAGAACTACAGAAATTTCAAATAAAGTATGTTCTTCTTCTTGTTCTACTTCTTGTAGGTATGCCGATCTGTTAATTCTGAAGCTGCATCTGCATTTTTTCCTTAGATGTGCATCTTACAATATCTTGTACTTCTCATTCCTCTCTGATGTCCTTCCCCATTATTGTTTTTCCGCAAAATCCACTGCATTTTACATGAATTTAGAAAATCATTCAGGGACTCACGTATATGGATAGTGTGTTCTTAAACCTTTAATTAATAAAAGCATCGATGTTCTTTGCAAACATCAAACATGTCTTTGAAGTGTGCGTTAGTGCTGTAATTAGCAGCTTTTAAACACACGGCGTAATTAAATAAAAGCAGTTGACTGTGGCAAAATTTATTTAGAACGTCGGTAAGTAATGAGCGAAGAGCCAACAATGAGAGAGAGTGAGTTTGCTTTGTTTTAAAATGTTTTCAAAGTTTTTTCATTAAATAAGTAGTATAACCAATAAATGTGGCTAAATGTGATCCAGATAAATATTACTAAACATGAATGATTTACTTTCAGGGATGAATTTTGAAGAATTATTTAAAGTGCCAAAGCTGATATTGAATAGCTTCGGGTTGTGGCCCCAAACCAACAGATCACTCCCTGCAAAAATTCGCCGATTTCTATCAATATTTCTGGGAGTCACAATGTCTATTTTGCTGTTATTTGAATGCTACATCTTGAATAACATCGACAGCACGTTTGAATTAATTACAGTCAGCATACCTCCCATATCCACATTACTAAAACAACTTGCTTTTTGCTTAAATGGAGATCATTTTCTTGCAGAATTAATATTTCTTAGAGAGCCTGCTCTCACTTCAGTACCCCGCCATTTAGAAAACCAAATGAAGCGACACCTCAATTTAGCCAAATATTTTGGAGATCGTTACCTACTCATGTGTCTTGCAAGTGCTGTTGGATATAACCTTCTACCACTAATTACAGACAAACCCTTACCAATTCCATTTACTCTGCTGCATGCTAGTCTCTACCAGCCAGGAATTTACTTGTTAGAAATTTGTTACCTCTTAAACGGCACAGCAAATAACTGCTGCTTGGACTATTTGGCTCTAAATTGCATGTGTGTAATTCGAGGGCAAATATGCGTATTAAATGGAAAACTTCGAGAAGCCCGTGTAATATGTAAAGAAGAGAAAGATCTTAATGTGGAATTGGTACGCTATATCAGTGCATGCGTGGAGCAACATGCTAAAATAATCGAGTATGTAAAAATGGAGAGTCTAAAGCTATTAAACTAAGAAAAAAATATATTTAAAAATAAAACTGGTTAATAAATTTCTAACAGATTGGAAGCAATTCAGTACTACATGGTGTTAAAAAAAGGTAGGCCACTTCGTTAACTAAAATTTCCTCAAGCAGCCTTAATACAATCCAATCCATAGCTCTACATTCCGCGGTGGGTCTTGGCCGCCTCAACAATTCTCCTCCATTTTCTCCGATCCTGAGTAGCTTCTCCCAGTTGAGCACTCCCAGGGCTTGAAGGTCCTTGCGGATATTAGCCCAACATCGAAGTTTTGGGCGCCCAAGTGGTCTTTTGTTGTTAGGAGTTTCTTTCCAGACCATTTTCATTAGCCTTGAGTTATTATTCCTCTGGCCATGTCCCAGCCATCTCAATCTGTTTGACTTAATTTCTTGTACTACACTATGTTTGTTGATCCCAGACTCCTCCAAATAATTTCCTAAGGATCTTTCTTTCAAAACAATTGAGTTTTAACGTGTCGGGTACAGTCATGGTCCAGGTTCCGCTAGCATAAGTTAGAACTGGTCTTATAATAGTTTTATACTGGGTGTCGATTTGAAAACTTCCCACCCWTAATATTTTTCTTGCTGTTGAAAATATTAAAAATCGGAACAACACTTTAAATTAATAWYTTTATCCCYCTWGTTTCAACTGCCTAGAACGRGTAGATTTCAGAATCTTAAATGGGAAGGGGGATCAAGTGGCACATCGTTTTAAATTTAAAACGTCCTTAAGRACCTTCAATTATCTTTACACYAGTTACTACTTTGTCGCTTTTTGTTCAGAGATTTTCGARTAATCGCGATTCAAAGTTACAGAAACAATTAAACTTACCTGCATTGACAGTAACAATAATAAAATCTATTTTCGAATCCTGCCTAACATTGATAAGATATTGCCGGATAGATAGATTGGCGGAAGGGGACCAATTAAATGGCGTCCAATATCACCTGATTGAACACCCTTAGACTTCTTTCTTTGGGGACATCTTAAGTCCATTGTTTTTAAAACACAACCTGCTGATATTGATAGTCTCAAAAGGCCAATTGCAGCAGAATGCCAGTCAATTCCCGGTAAAGTTTTCCGAAATGTTATGGAGTTTGAAAAAAGGAATTTATTATTGTTTACAGCAAAATTGACAACATTTTCAACAACTTATAAGATAGTGCGTAAGTAGATGACAGAGGTTTTATTATAAAAATTCATCTTTCGCAAATAAAAAGTTATTTTTGTTGATCTGAAATAATCAATAAATAAGAAATAAGATAAAAATCGAAAATAATAAATCAATGTTTAAACTAGATTTTCTTCCTGTTATTCAACGATTTTAACAGTGTAACCTACTCTTCTAATCATTTGTAT